GCTACCAACTTCCTCTCATCTCCTGTGGGATCATTTGCCGCCTCTCTGCATCTCAGCCCCACACCTGGGACCGTCTCTATGGGAGTGGTTTATTGGAAAGCAAAGTGGGATTTGTCCACAGGAGACGTGAGTTCAAGCTCTAGTTACATCCTCCACTGGTTATGGTCTTGGACAAGCCACTCGACCTCTCCAAGTGTCGCCGTCCTTGTCTGCAGAACAGGGACAATAATAATTCCCACCTCAAAGGATTGCAGTGAGGGTGGATGTCAGAAGGTGACCTGAGCCTGAGGGCATGGCACGCTCTGTCCAGCGCTCGTGTTCCTGGGCCCCCCTGGCGTCCTAGGAGATGTTCTGACTGCACCCAGCTGTGCCAGGCGTCGTCTTACACAGTCCCTGATGCCTTGAGGTCACCTAACACGAACCAACTTAAAGAAAGCCTCCCCTCGCGCTTTCCACGACCAACTTCCCGACCCCTTCCTTCCCCGCGTCCTACTCGTCCACCTGAATGCACCAGGTTCCATCACTTTTCCTCCAAAACGTCCTAAAAGAATTCAAAGCCTCACTTTTCTTTCCCTTCTTGCAGCATCCTCAATGCTGTCCCGCTCCACCCATCCTTCGGGACTATTTCAGCCCTTCCGGCCGAGTTCTTGCTTCTGACCCCACCACACCCTAATTCTGCAGCTACCAGCAGACGGATCCTCCTCCCACAGCCTGCTTTTGTCCCACCACCTCCCTGGGCAGGAATCTTCACTAGCTCCCCATTGAATGACATCCAAACCCAGCCTAGCACACAGGGATCTCCACACCACGGCCTCAGCTGACCGACCCTTTTAATTCCATCGCTTAAAAACAATCTTGCTGAAGCCTGGAAGCACCGCACTGCCTTTCAGTGGGTGGATGGCTAAGTGACCTGTGTACATCCAGACAACAGGATGTGACTGAGCACTCAAAAGAAACGAGCTGCCAGGCCCTGAAAAGACGTGGAGGGAACTTAAATGCACTTCCTAAGTGAAAGAAGCTGGTCTGAAAGGCTGCATGCTGTGGGATGCCACCTTTACGGCATTCTGGAAAATCAAAACTATGGAGATGGTAACAATGTTGGTGGCTGCCAGGGGCTGGGTTTGGGGAGGAATGAATGGGCAGAGCTGGAGGATTTTTAGGCAGTGAAACTTCCCCGTATGATCTAGTAGGGGAGGAAGACAGATCCTCTACCCTCTGGGTCCTTCTGACTGGACACCGAATTAAATTCATATGAGGCAGAATAACAGGAGAAAATCAAACAAAGCTTTGTAATATGCATACATGGGAGAGGCTCAGGCAAGCTGAGCAACTCGCCAAAATGGCGGAAGCCACCACCTTAAATACCCTCCTCGGCTAAAGACAAAGGAGGATGTTGGGGGTGGGGGAGTCAGTTATGGGAGATTACCAGAAAAGCACAGCAAACAAGGGTAAGGTTATTATGCAGATTTAAGTCCTTGCCTTCAGCATTGATAAGAGTTTCTAGAGATAAGGTCATCCCCCTTCTTCCTGGTGCAGAGAGGGAGACACCTTTACAGATGGAGATTTCCTTTACAATGTAGATGTCTCTTAACAAAGGGTAACTTCTACTTTTCAGAGCTTCTCCCATGTCAGCAGTTTTTAACAGTAACCAGCCCAAAATAATCCTCATGCCAAAGAGACACATTTTGGGGTGGCCAGTTCTGATCCCCCATAGCCCTATCTTGGTGGATCCATGTCCTTATATATTTGTCCAAACCCACAGAGTGTGCACCAGCAAGAGTGAACCCGAATGTAAACCCCAGGTGACGCCGGGTGATGATGATGTGTCCGCCTGGGCTCATCCAGGGTAAGAAATGCACCAGGCGGCTGGGGATGTTGGGGGCTGGGCTCTGCCCGTGTGGGGCATATGGGAGCTCTCTGTACCTTCCCTCTCCATTTTGCTGTGAACCTAAAGCTGCTCTAAAAAGTAAAATCTTAAAAAGACAATTGAAGTAACACAATTGTAGAAGAGTTAGAAATATAAATAAACAGCTACCCACAGTTCCACCACCCAGAGATGATCGCTGTTGGTCATTTTGCTGAATCAGCTCTCAGAACTTTCCCATGCTTACAAACGGCCATCTCAATGCATGTTTATTTTGTTTTATTTTTTTTGTGAAGAACACTGGCCCAGAGCTAACATCTTTTGCCAATCTTCCCCTTTTTGTTTGAGGAAGATTGCCGCTGAGCTAACATCTACGCCCATCTCCCTCTACTTTAGGTGGGACGCCGAAATAGCACGGCTTGACGAGCGGTGCTAGATCTGCACCAGGGATCCGAGCCTGCGAACCCAGGCCATCGAGGCAGAGTGCACGAACTTAACCGCTTCGCCACTAGCTGGCCCTTGCATGTTTATTTTAATCAGAGAGAGACTGTAGCACGGCCTCCGGGTGGGAGCCTCCTTTCCCCTCTGTGATGCATCCTGGGCTTCAAGGGGTTAGCCCTCCAGTGAGTGGATGCCCCTAACTCGCTGAATTACCTCCTCTCCCTGCATTTATGGTGTGCCTTCTGTTTACTGCCCTTTCTGTTTTCTTCTTTTCCTTGACCTTTCACTTTACGTTTCATTCATCAAGTTTTTATAGCCTCTCTGCCCACTTCTCCTGATTTCTTTAAATCTGCTGGTTTGGAAGATACAGATGGTGTTCCTATTCTTTTAGCAGGCACCCTTAACTTCCCCTTTTTATTGTGTCAAAGTTTACAGAAAAATGCATAAAATACACAGTGCCAGCTGACTCGTTTCTGGGAAGCATGCCCCTCCAAACAGCCCTCCCTCCCCCTCACAGGCCTCCCTCCATCACAGCCCTCCCTCCCCATCACAGCCCTCTCCATCACAGCCCTCCCTCCATCACAGCCCTCCCTCCCCATCACAGCCCTCCCTCCCCAGCACAGCCCTCCTTCCCCCTCATGGTCTTCCCTCCCCAGAGCAGCCACTGTCCTGGCCGATGGTCATCAGATCCCCACTTTGCCTTCTGCTTCCATCACCTATGTGTGTGTCCCTAAACGTTATGGTTTAGTTTGTTTGTTTCCCAATTGATATTGGTGGAACCGTATGATATGCATTTTTATTTTTGGGGTGGGTGGACTGGCTCCTTTCACTCAACACTTTATTAAAGATTTATCTACGTTGTGTGTAGCCATAGGCTGTTCATCTTCATTACTGTATATTGTTCCTTTGAATGAATAGCCGCAATTTATTTATCCATTCCAATGTTGATGGACGTTTGTTTTTTCCCCCCAGACTTTGGAAATTACCAGCAATACTGCTATATATACATATTTTACACGGATTCTGGTGTTTGTGTTTCTGTCGGGTGTATACTAGATGTGGAATTGTGTGTCATAGGGTATACATAATTGTAGCTCATTGTGGTTTTAACTTGTAGTTCTCGATTGCTAATGAGGTTGAGCATGTTTTCACATGTTTATTGGCCTTCTGGATTTCTTGTGAAAAATGTCCTCAAATTTTTCAGTTATATTATCTCTTTTTTTTTTTTGAGGAAGATTATACCCGAGCTAACTACTGCCAATCCTCTTTTTGCTGAGGAAGCCTGGCCCTGAGCTAACGTCTGTGCCCATCTTCCTCCACTTTATACGTAGGACGCCTATCACAGCATGGCTTTCGCCAAGCAGTGCCTTGTCCACACCCGGGATCCGAACCAGCAAACCCTGGGCCGCCTAGAAGCGGAATGTGCGCACTTAGCCGCTGCACCGCTGCACAACCTCTGTCATTTTCTTATTGATTTGTAGGAGATCTTTACATATTTTGGATAAGAACCAGTTGTTTGGTACATGTGTTATAAATATCTTCTCTCACTCTGTGGATTGCCGTTTCACCTTTTTAATGACATCTTTTGATAAATAGAAGTTTTAAATTTTAGTAGAGTTGAATTTATCAATTTTTCCCTTTATGGTTAATGACTTACTTTTGTCTTAAGAAAACTTTCCCTACTCCAACTTTATGCAGCGAGATTCCTACATTAATTCTAAAGACTTTACAGTGTTGCCTTCACATGCAGGCCTATAATGCACATGCAATTGAGTTTTACATATGGTGTGAGTAGGGACCCAATCTCATTTTTTTCCCATAGGGGTGCCCAATTCTCCCAACATTCTTATTAAAGCAGACACAATCGAATAATATCTTCAAAAAGGTGAGCAAAAATAACTGTCAAGCTAAAATCTAAACCCAGCTAAAGTGTCACTCAAGAGTGATTGTGAAACAAGCACATTTCAGATGAAGACAAAGAGAGGTTTGCCACTGGTGATGTGCACTGAGGAGTTTAGGGGCTATATTCGGGAAGGAAGGGATTGAATACAAATGCAAGGTCTACCCGAATCTCGGCTTGCTCCAGTAGGGGCCCCGTTTCCTTACTTTTTTTGAGGTTGTGACAAGTGTTCAAACAGAACCTGATGGACAGGCCCCAAGTGGAGCCCGTGGTGGACCCCAGGGTTTGGTATGATCGACCCTCAGTGTTATTTTTGTCCCTCGGCTGGGCTTAGGGTCACTGGCTTAGGCACAGAACCTCTGCTGAAGCAAGGTTTTGTTTACCTTCACAAATTTAGGAAACCAGGGGGAACCTGCTTGTTCATGTCCTCCTAAGTGGTGGGGAGAAGCTTTTACAAGAAATAACTTTTTCAGCAAGTCCAGTGTATTTTTTTAACCTCTCTCTTTTTTTTTCCCTGCAATTGTGACATGTCTACATAAAATTGGCCACAGGAAGGAAGTCCTGTTCACGAAGTTATTTTCTGAACATCCCCCTACACTCTAGATTTCACAACATGCATACATTTAGGTGGAGGGACCGAGACTTCGTGCCCTCAATGGCAGCTGTAATTTGGGAGTCAAACGCCATCAGGGAGCATTGATAGCTTCTGTGTGATCCCCTCGTATAGACAAGAAAAGGTCAGAATCGAAGGAGGAATGAAATATTTACTTTAAAGAAAGAGACTTTCAGAACGGAGAGTCTGAACACTTCTGGAAATAAGCCTGAAGTCAGAGGTCAACTCAGCGAGATTCTACAACGGAGAAGTTGAGAGTTTAGAGAAGGACCAGGAAAAAAATAGAATGACCCAGCCACTGGGAGGTGCCAGTGACCCTGGACTGCTGTTCTTAAAAGGCCCCTCTCGCTTAGTCGTGGAGCCCAGGGCCATAGCTTTGTGGCCCGAGGAACGTGCAGCCTACACTGGCCTCTGCATGGCAACTCGCTACGACGTTTGCACTCGTTCATCTAAAGCGAGGGAGGGCCACCCTCCTACGTCCTCTTCCGTCCTGCCTCTGTGAACTGCACAGAGTTTGCATCAAGCCCTTCTAGACGTAAAGCCTAATCGTGTAAGGCGTAGGCACGGTTGAAATCAGCTGACTTCTTGTCCTCGGCTCCCTATCATCTTTCTTTCCCTTTCCTGTTGGAGGTGGTCATCTCCATGCGCCTCTGTGTTGAAGTATGCAGATTATAAGCACCATGTTCAGTGCCTGCTGGCACCGATTGCTTCACACATCTCATTGAATCTTTGCAACAGGTCTTTAAGCTGCTTATTTCTATCTGCGGTTGCAAAGGAGGACACAGGCTCATGGCAGCCACAGGCACTTTTGGGGAAGGGCCTGTGCCAGTGTGATAGAGGCAGGACATGAGCGCAGGTCTGGAGCTCACTTGTCTCGGGGACCGCACCCCACGCTTCTGAGAGCACAGCTGGAGGGGACTCGCTGCCCTCCTGGTCAGCGTCTTTGGCCTGGGACAGACTCTGGCCACAGGAGGCCTACTCCCTCTGCAGTGTCGCTCTCGGGGGCCCGGCCCCCTCACCACTGCTTTATTTATTAATGTGGCTTCAGAGTGTTAGGGCCCCAGACTGTCTAGTCCACACTCGTGCTTTAGACGAGGAAACAGATGCACCCAAGAGGAATAAATGGACTAGAGGGATGTATCAGACAGCGTTGCTGCCCTGACTCAGCGGCTTAAAACAGCGAAGGCTGATCGTTCCTCACGATTCCGAGGGTGGACCGGCTGGCTCTTCAGTCGATCTCCCCTGGCTCTTTAGTGCAGCGGTCCACCCAGCTGGGTGGCCTTTCATCCTGGGTCCGCAACCCTGGTGAGAGGGCTCCAAGAGGGCCAAAGTAGGAGCTGCCTCACCTTGGAAGTTGCAAGTCACTCCTGCTCCATTCTGTCCAGAGGCAAGGAGGAGTCAACCGACTCTGCTTCTTGATGGGAGGAGCAGCAAAGCCACATGACCAAGGTGGGAGAATATGGGCAGCGTGGTTCACGGGCGTGGGTGGTCGTTATTGTAACAATCTACCCGCATGATGTGGCCCACTCCTGCTGGAGGCAGAGCTTGGGCCCAGGACTCCTGATTTTGTTCTTTTCTATGACAGCATGCTGTTCTGACATCCCACGGGACTTTCTAGAATCCCACAGATTTTCCAGGAGTCTCCTTAATTGACCAACAGGCTGCTGGCTCTGACGAGCATCAGGGAGAGAGGTCGTGTGTCCACCCCTCCTCTCATGACTGTGCTGAGCAGCGTCGAGTCCCTGATGACCCCGGTGTGCAGCCACTGCCCATACCCTTCCTCCATAGTGTCCCAGGATGGGGGGATGCTAAGGCAGCTCTCCCTGAGGGGCTCAGGTGATCCAGTAGGGTCAGGGAAGAAAAGATTAGACCCCGTTTATGTTTCCATTTGCCTAAGAAAGAAATGAACTTTGCTAATGTTTCTAAGTGGAGAGACACCGGCGCCCTCCCTTGAGCCTGACGTCAGGTGTCCTGACTCCTGTAGGGACAGAGAAGACGTGGGGGAGGAGGGGACACTCCATAACCCAGCCACACGGGCAGTGGCACATTGAGACACGTGGCTCTGAAAATGCAGTGGGCAAACCATAAACTATTTCCCATCTGTGCGTCTAAAACTCTGGAAGCCACGTATTCCGTATGCTACACGGTAGCGTTGTATCCTGTTTAATCTGGACGGTGAGCAGCGTGAGAGCACGCACTGCCTTCTTCTTCTTTGTGTCCTGGGTCTGTCTAGGGCCCGGCTCGGAGCTCGTAGGAACTCAGAGTCTTTTATGGCTGAGTCAAGTTCTGTCCTAACTGTTCACTGTGTGCTGAGCTCCTCGTGGGGGGCGCCCCATGGAACCTGTTATGAAATATTCCCAGAGGCACGGAGGGTGACTTCTGTAACCCTAGGACAGTTATCCTTGGGTGCTTGGCTCTCTCCAGTCTTTATCTTGTCTCGGGAGGCTGTTGGGTCATTGACACAAGGTGGGGTCTTGGATGAACCACTCCTGTCGTTAGGGGCTGGGACAGCCTTTTTCCAGATTGTCCTGTTCCAGCAGCCTGAGGAGTGTCTTGCTGGACTCCCGCCAGGAGTTAGAAGCCTTCTCAACTGTCGGTGTGCTTCCTGTTTGCACATTTGATTTGGTGCCTAGTGTATGTCGTCTTGCCGCCTTGTCATATTACCTCATTTCCCTTTTATAGTTGCTTGTCATTCAAGGAATGGATTGGAGCAGAAGGCATTTAAGGTCCTGTACTAGTGTCCTGTGGCTGCTGCAACAAATGACCACAAACGTGGTGGCCTCAAACAACACAAATTCGTTCTCTTACAGTCTGGAGGTCTGACCCAGGTCTCACTGGGCTAACGTCAAGGTGTCGGCAGGGCTGGTTCATTTCTGGAAGGAGCGTCCGTTTCCTTGCCTTTTCCAGCTTCTGGGGGACATCCGCATTCCTTGGCTTGTGGCCCCTTCTTCCATCTTGAAAGCCAGCAGCCCAGCAGCGTCCAATCCCTCTCTGACTCTGCTCCTGCCCTCACATCTCCTTCTCTGACTCTGACCCTCCCGCCTCCCTCTTACAAGGACCCTGCGATGACAGTGGACTCGCCTGGATTGTCCCGGCTGCTCTTCCCGCCTCAAGAGCCTGAGCTTAATCACATCTCTGTCTCTCTCTCCTTCTCCCCCTCCTTCTCTCTCTCTTCCTACGCTACTCCTTGGTTCTTTCCTTCGCGGGATCAACACAGTTTGTAATCCTGCGTGTACAGGTTTCAAGTCTGTCTCCCCCACTGTTTGAGAAGCTCGTCTCCTTGTTCACGGCTATATTCCCAGGATCTAGAGAAATGCCGGTAGAATTATGCTCGAGTTGAAAATTTCCCTCTGACGCATTCCCGTCCATTTGCAGGCCATGGGCCTGTCAATCAGAGGGGAAGAGATGCCCACACCACGTTCTAGCCCCGCGGCTTCCCGGCCAGCCTCGGGGTAGCATGCTTAGGCAAGCGTCGTGGCCGCCTTGTGTGATGTCATGCTGTGGGCAGCACTGGGCCTGGTGGGCTTGGGGCAAGGGAAGTCACCCCTGCGTGAAGATCCTGTTTGCAAGGGGACCTCAGCTCTGGTCTCAGAGGCTGGGCACCTTCTCTTCCGGCTGCTTCTCTTTTCTCGGTGAAACAGGAACAAGATCGAGGGAGGCTGGAGGCTTGAGGAGAGTGAGATAGCTGTCCAGGAGAGAGGAAAAGGACAGAGAGATGGGGACAGTCACCGGGTAGCAAGAAGGGTTGCGGAGTGTCAAGGGAAGGCTGCAGAGTGTGGTCGGCCAGCAGGCTGCTGCCCTCCCTGCTGCCCCTGAGGCTGGGCTTGGTGTTGAGAAAGCAGAGGGCGGGCGGCACTGAGCCAGGCTCCGTGTTTGCCGAGCAGTGACACTGTGGGGACAGCTCCCCTTCCATTTCTGCAGAGTGGGTGGGACCTCCTGCTGCAGAGTGGGAGTGGCCGGTGCAGAAGTGGGAGGGGAGCTCGAGTACAGCCAGACCTCCAGAACATTCTCACCAGAACCCAGGTGAGAAACCACAGTGTACTTTCCTTCAAGGCTGCCCTTCACTTTAATCTGATCTCATGCAACACGTGGAAGGAGGGGAGGGGCAGGTGGGGGGTGGGCGTGGACATCGACGGCCCCTGTCCTGGACAGTGCCCACCGACACTGTCTGTCCCAGACCTGATCCCCCGACCGGGAACTACTGTCTGAGCAGAGACTCTGCACACACACTCCTCACCTTGAAGGCAGAGTTTTGTCACCATCTCTTTCGTGCTTATGGCGCAAGTGGCTACCGCTGCCCAACAGATGGAGTTCATGGACGTCCGGGTCCTGGAGAAACGTATGTGCTGGCTGTGACAGGTCAGTGGAGGCAGGAACACAGCAATCGATGACATTTAACAAGCTCAGAAGTTATTTCCCCCGCAGACCTAAGGATTATGACCAAGTCTGGTTTGTCTTTACCCCTGAAGACAGGCAGTGGGAAAAAACCAGGCCCAAGAGCTTTGAAGACCAAGTTTCTGTCTGTGCTGTGGGCTGCTCCTGACAGGTATGTTCTTGGTGCCCTTTATGGACCGCATCTGTGACTCAGGCAGCCCGAGGGACTCCCCCAGCTGCCTGCTGTGGCGGGTCCCGCTGATGGGAAGTGGCACCCAGTAATTCAGTTTCCTTTCACCTCAGTTTCTTCTGAAACCTGTTCCTCTGATATTTAAAGCTGGGTCAGGAAAGGCCCTTCCTCAGAAGTTCTGCTGCTCTCCTGAGGGCCTGGGCATTGGCAGACAAAGCATGGGCGTCCTTGAGCCAGAAGATCCCCGGCTGGTGCTGAGGAAACTTGGGTGATGCCCAGCAGGCAGGCCTAGGCTGCTCCTTGCTGGGTGGCACTCACCCAGGGACAATAGCACTTAGTCATTTTAGACTCTGTGCTGGGGATGCTCTCACGTGGGAGAGCTCTTGTCTCTGCCACCGTCCCCTGGATCCCTGATGGAGGTTCTGGGCTCCAGAACTGGGACAAAGGGGTGACTTTGTTTTGGGGGCAGATTTGCAGGTTGCGGAGTGGAGAGAGAGGGGAGCGGAGGGGAAGAGATCTAGAGGCTGAAGAAAGAGGAAGAAACGTAACTCGGTGGTTCTTAACTGGGAGTGGCTGTGCCCACCAGCGGAGGGTGATGTCTGGAGACAGATCGATCTAGTCGTCACAACAGGGGGAGGAGGTGCTACTGGCCTCTCATGGGTAGGATGCGGCTAAGCACCCCACAGTGCCCAGGACAGCCCACCATAGGGAATGGCCCGGCTGCAAATGTCAGCAGAAGCCCTCACGTAATTCAAAGGACTGGCTGAGGGTGGGGGGACAGGGAGCCCAGCCGACCAAGCTGGTCTCCAGCCAGGTTCTACAGGAAAAGTACTCATTTGCCTGGGAACTTCTCCAGTGGAAAAAGCTCCATTTTGTTTCCTCGGGCTGCACTAGTATCGTGATGTGGCCTCTGGGCCAGTTGTGAGAATGGAAAAGTTTATGTTCGGGCTCGGGGCTCCAATTTTGATCTTCTCCCTACGAAGCATCCTTTTAGATTTCCTCTCATCCAAGCAGGAGAGGGCCTTGGTACCAAAGACTGTACGTCCCAGACCGCCTCCCTTTCGATAACCGCTGTCTAACCTTTCCTCTGGTGGTGACATAGTGGCTTGTGCAGCTTTAGGAGGTTCCAGGTACCTGGGCGCGGTGGGCGGCGCTATTGACAAGGGCTCCCTGGGTGCTGGTAGCTGCTCGCGCCAGCCGGGCCTTGCTGTTTGCATTCTTGCTAACTCAGCTCTCACTACTGAGGGTGGCATCTTGCTGGCCAGAAACTGTCCTTTGAGGGCTCGACCCCACGCGGGCTGCTTTCCAGCTTTGCATGGAGCTGGTGGGAGTGGAGCACAGAGGAACTGGGTGGCCCCTCTGCCTTGCCTGACTTCTGCCTGTCTAGGAGGAATGTGAGGATCTGGCCCTAAGTGGTGAGGAAGAGAAGCTGGAGCAGGAGCGATCAGTGAGGGAGAGCGCGGTCTGGGCGTTCCAGGAAGCACGTGGACCAGGACTCAATGGGTGTGGGCATTTGTGGGGAAGAGCGAAGAAGCCCTGACATCTTAGTGAGGCTGGAGTAGTCGAGTCATGGCAATAGCCCTCTCCTGCTGGGCTGGGTGACAGGGGGCAATGCAGTTCACAGGGCACAAACAGTGAGGGGAAGGTGCTGGGCCCAGTCTTGGGGTGCACCAACTATTTCTGAGGGCAGGTGGTTCTTTCCTAGGAGCTGACATCTGAGCTATGCACCAGGCACTGGCATTTCCTTCTCCCTTCCACCCGTGTCATCCTGTGATGGGTCCAGGGAAGACCCTTCTCTCTTCAAGACTACCCTTGATGTAAATTTTAGCCAGGTGTCACCTGAAGCGGAAGGATGAGGGTCGGTATGAGCATACACAGACGGCTGAGGCTACAAGTTCGAGATGTCCACTGGGGCCGCAGTTTGGAAAGTACGTGCTGACATGGCAGCTGAGAACCAAAACCCCTTCTGAGCCTGTGGTCAAACCCTCCTAATAAGAAGAGAAACCGAGAGTCTCAGGCCGCGTGCTGGGAGAGCCGCACGGTCGGGCAAGGGGCTGGGGGTGGGGGAGGCGCCAGGAAAACTCTGAAAATTCTGCACCCTGTTTTGCTTTCACTCACCTAGATTTAGAAGAATCCTCTGGCAAAATGAAACTGAACTCTTACTTCCCCACTGATGGTCTCCCGGTGACGGCATAGACACTCTTGTCCTTGGTGATAGATCTGGATGCTTTGGGTGTCGGCTTTGTCAAGGTTTAATTTATGTACAATAAAATCCCCCAATTTGAAGTGTACCATTTAATGAGTTTTGACAAATGTGTACAGTCCTGCAGCCACCACGATCATGACATAAACCATTTCCATCGTCCCAACAGTTCCCTCATCTCTCTCTGGGTAATCTCCTCCTTCCACCCCCAGCTCCCGGCAACCCCCGAGCTGCTTTCCAGCACTGTGGTTTGGCTTTTTTTTTTTATGAATTGTATGTGCGTAGAATCTTACAGCATGTGGTCCTTTATGTCTGGCTTTTGAAACTTAATGGAGTGCTTTTACGAGTCCTCCACACTGTTGTGTTTCAGTTGCCTGTTCGGTGTGGAGACATGACAATTTGTTTGACCATTCACCAGTTCCTGGATGTCTGGGTTGTTTCCAGTGTTTGGAGACACCGAATAAAGCTGCTATAAACATTCATTTACAGGTATTAACGTGGACATATGTTTTCTATTTTTGTGGTAAATACCTATAAGTGGAATTACTGGGGCATATGGTAAGTTTATGTTTAACTTTTTAAGGAACTGCCAAACTATTTTCTGAAGTGGCTGCACCATTTTGCATTCCACCAGCAATGTCTGTGAGTTCCAGTTGCTCTATATCCTGGTCAGCACTTGGTATTGTCAGTCTTATGATTTTAACCATTCTAGTGACCATATAGGGGTATCACTTTGTGGTTTTAATTTGTATTTCCCTCGTGACCCATGGTGTTTTCATGTGCTTATTTGCCATCTGTATATCTTCTTTGATGAAATGTGTGTTTAGGTCGTTTGACCATTTTTAAAAACTGAGTTGTTTGTATCCTTATTATTGAGTTGCAAGAGTTCTTTACATATTCTGGATATAAGTCTTTTGTCAGATATATTTTTTGCAACTATTTTTTTGTGGCTTGCCTTTTCATTTTCTTAACACTGTTATTTGAAGAACAAAATTTTAAAAATTTTGATAAAGTCTAATTTATCAAATATTTACTTTATAGTTTGTGCTCTCTTGTGTCCTTTTGAAGAAATCTTTGCCTAATCCAAGGTCACTTAGATTTTCTCCTGTTTCCTTCTAGAAGTTTTATAGTTTTTTTGTTTTTTGTTAAAGATTGGCACCTGAGCTAACTCTTGCCAATCTTCTTCTTTTTTTTTTTTTAATTGCTTTTTCTCCCCAAATCCCCCCAGTACATAGTTGTGTATTTTTAGTTGTGGGTCCTTCTAGTTGTGGCATGTGGGACACCGCCTCAGCGTGGCCTGATAAGCGGTGCCGTGTCCATGCCCAGGATCCAAACCAGCGAAACCTTGGGCCACCAAAGTGGAGCACGTGAACTTAACCACTCAGCCACGGGGCCAGCCCCTACAGTTTTAGCTTCTACATTTATGTCTTAGATATATTTTGAGTTCATTTTTGTATGTGATGTAAGAATCATGGTTCATTTTCTTTTCTGTATGGAAGCCCAATTGTTCAATTGTTGGGACAACACAGTTGAAAAGGTGATTCTTTCCTCAGTGAGCTGCCCTGGCACCTTTGTAGAAAGGCAATTGGCCGTTTATATGCGGATCTATTTCTAGACTCTATTCTGTTCTGATTTTATCTGAAAAAGTAAGATTAAAGGACAGTGCCTCTCATGAAAGCACTTTCATACTTTATCAAATAACATATTTATCTGGGATGCCAATTAGAACATTTCTGTTCCCTCTGAAGACTATAGTCTATTTTTGTGCAAATGTGTAATGTGCTTTGGCCAAAAGTGTTAATAGTTAAGCCTAATTTAAATATTGTAACTTATGGACACAAATAGTCAAAATGTTCTAATGCCTTTTGAGAATGGATGTAACAATCTGAAATATATACCTCGCACCTCTTTCTGCCCTTTTCTCTCTTATTTATACAACTCCCAGGTCAATGAGTGTCCAAGAAGACCTCTGACTCACACTCGGGGACACAGGTGCTGGTTTCAAACGTGGGTCCCACGTCATTGCACCGTGGGAACACTTCCCAATTTCCAGGAATGCCTCACATTTTCTTTGGTTATTCAAGCCAGGCGTGAGTCTCCCGAGGTGGATCTCTGCTCCTTTGCACAGTAATGAATACCCAGTCGTCAGTTGTGGATGATCTCTTGTTACACAATCTGTGCCTCCCCACATCTCCATCTTGCCGTGCTGGGGTGTGTACCACGCAGGGGCCGAGGGGAAGAAAGGTGAAAAAGCGCTTCTGTTCCTGCATAAAACTGTATTTTCACCTCTTCTCCCTTCAGTCTTTATCAGATGCCTAGAAACATAGAGATGCTCTCATACTCTCGTCCACAAGCGCATATGCTGTCTGAGGCTTCTTACTCTTTCTTGTTTCAAAGACCCGTAGGAAAGAAAACCTGTCTGTGTCGGGAGTTGATACTTTCGCTTTGTAATAAGGTCATTTAAAAAACCAACTGCTGGGGCCGGCCCCGTGGTGGAGTGGTTAAGTTCACACGCTCTGCTTTGGAGGCCCAGGGTTCCGCTGGTTAGGAACCTGGGTGTGGACCTACACACCGCTCATCAAGCCATGCTGAGGCAGCGTCCCACATAGCAGAACTAGAATGACCTACAACTAGGATATACAACTACGTACTAGGGCTTTGGGGAGAAAAAAACAGAGGAAGACTGGCAACAGGTGTTAGCTCAGGGCCAATCTTCCTCACTAAAAAACAAAACAAAACAAAAAACAACAAAAAAACCCCCAATTGCCATATCGTAGTGTCATTGTTCATAAAAGAAAGGACATTTTGGCTCCAGGTTACGAAGACTGTCTCAGCCTGGCATTGTACCTGACTGGCATCTGCGAGTGCCACCGAGACCCATGGGAAGGACACAGGGCTGGGATCAGACAGTCTGTGGATGCAGAACGGAGCCTGTCACTTTCTTCAGGAGGCTGTCTGCTCTCTGAGGCTTAACATCCTCCCCTGGTGGGTTTTAACCACACCCATTTCTAGACGGAAGCTTCTTACCATTTTTAAAGGACTGTTTTCAGCTTTGGCCCGTCAGGGTTTTAAAAAGTCTGGGCATCAGTTCAGTCCGATACACACCCAGGAAAGGAGAGCGTACGCTGTGGGCACACCCCCGTGTCTGAGCCCGCTAACGCCCTCTCCTGGAAATGAAGGTGCCCCGGAGGGAGCGGGGCCCCGCGGCCCCGTCAGCTGTCCCCTGTCACGTCCCTTCCTCCTCTGGGGGGATCAGGCACACATGGGTCTCCCCACCTTTCTTTCTTCACCTTCCTTTTCCTGCTCTTTCTCAAAGGTATACTTTTAAGCTCCTTTTTCTTGATTTCTTTCAAATATTATCTGTTTACCTGGAGAAAAATCAGCCTCTCCTTTTTCATTCCACTTATGAATAGAACCCTTCCCCAAACCCCATATCAGACTGATGGACTGGGAGAGGCGGGGGTGGCGTTAAAGCAAAGGAGAGCCACAGGCATTGACACGAGGCCTCAGAGGTAGGAAGTCTCAGGGACAACGACCACAGCATCCTTGTAGCTTCCCAGATGTCCCCTGAGGTCTTGACAAAATGGGTGTGCGCTTGCTTATTGTCCTCTGACTGTATCTTCTTATCAAGTATTAGCAATGGAGTAAATACTTGTAGTAGGCGGAATAATGCCCCCCACCCCCAAAGATGTCCACACCCCAGTCCCTGGCCCTGTGAATAGGTTAGGTCACCCGGCGAGGGGGAATTAAGGTTGCAGATGGAATCAAGGTTGCTAATCAGCTGACCTTGAGATGGGAAGGCCGTTCTGGATTGTCTTGGTGGGCCCAGTGTAATCACGGGGTCCTTAAGAGTTGAAGAAGAGGGCAGGAGAGAGTGAGAGGAGCTGTGACTGCGGGAGCAGGTCTGAGAGACGCCACACTGCTGTCTGAAGGGGGAGGAGGGAGCTCCAGTCAGGGAGGTCGGGAGGCCTCCTGAAGCTGGCAAGACGAGAACAGGGAATCTCCTCCAGAGCGTGCAGAAAGGCACGCGGCCCTACTGACACCGTGGCTTTAGCCCAGGGAGGCCCACGTGGGACTTCTGCTCTCCAGAACAGAGAGAATAAATTCGTGTTGTTTTAAGCCACTCAGTTTTTGGTAATTTGTTACAGCAGGAATCGAAAACAAATATAAGATTTAACCATGCCTTATTCGGGGTTTTTTTTCCTGTTTTGTTTAAATGGATAGCAACAAAATTGCAAAATTGCATTGCCAATTCACCTGTATTTTCTTTCAGAGTAGCATGAGAATTTACCCACTATCTTCTTTGTTTTTTAACACAACGATTTTTATTTCATTTCTTCCCCCCGCACCATCTTAACGTTTGTTTTAAATTAGAAAACAATTGCTATGAAACTTTTTGGACATAAACTTTGACGATTAGCCTCCCATTTATGAGCAGAATTTCTACAGAATAGATATCCTCTACCTAAATCCACGTGATCAGATGCCGCGTGTTGAAGGAATTCTTTATAAACATCACCACGGTTCCCCTGACGCCTGCGAATTCACCGAAGGGCAGTGACAAGACGGTTACGTGCCGGGGAGAGAGCTGTATCTGTCATTACAGAGGCAGCCCCTCTTCAGTCTGTGAACGTTGAATCAGAAGGGATTTTGCCTCATTTTAAGAGTTTTCTATCCATGAAACTGTTAAAAACCAAACTGCTTTATGAGATAGCAAATTTCTTGTTTCTGGAGTAATTCAAGGAGGCTGTCACGGGTGCTATGGAGGGGACTCCTACCAGGGTGGGAACTCAAGTTAGGTCACCCCTGCAGTCCTTCCCAGCACAGAAGCGGGTGACTTCATGATCTGGAATAACCTGGAATTGCTTCTCAGTTGTCTTCTCTGACCGCCCAACCCCCAGGCCAGTTGCTCAGGTTTATCAAAGAAACAGACATGTGAAATCAGGGCTGGAAGCATCCTGGGAAATGCAATCTGCTCTTTTTACGCAGGAGAGTTGATTTGTCTAAGGCCACCCAGCTAGGCAATGACAAGGACAGAGCTGGGAACAGCTCTCTGGACTTTCTGGCTGATGATCATCCTGCTCAGTC